GCGAAGATCTCAGCATATTTAAAAGATCGCTCACAAGAGACTTATGAATGGGAATGGAAAAAATGGATAGATTATGTGCAGAACAAATATCAAATTAGGAAGTATCAGATAGCTTTTCATTGAAAGTATTATATAAAAATAGAAATGTATGAATTTTGTGAAGATGAAAAATTATAAGGGGGTTTGAGGGGTTCAAGTTTTATAAAAAGGGGATTTTGATGGGATTATATTCTGTGGAAGTCAGGGGGGAGGGTTGGGGGGGTTAGGGTGGGAAGTGTGGGGTGCGTTGGGGAAAATGGGGTGAAAATGTAATTGTAAAACTTTTGCAATAAAAAAAAAAAGAAGAGTGATGCCACAGTAGTTGTTACAGTCACCCCTGTCACCTTTGTTCTTGTACAGTGTGACGATATTTGCATCCTTCATGTCCTGTGGTACTCCACCTTCCCTCCAACAAAGACAGAAGATTTCATGCAGTTCAGTGGAGATGTTCTCTTTGCAGCACTTCAGAACTTTGGCAGGAATGTTATCTTTCCCAGGTGCCTTGCCAGAGGCAAGGGAGTCCAGGGCTGGATTTAGTTATTCTAAAGTTGGTTCACTGTCAAGCTCCTCCAAGACAGGCAGGCACTCAATATTATTTAATGCTTCTTCAGTTACCACATTTTTTCTGGAATATAACTCAGAGTAGTGCTGCACCCAGTGTGCCATCTGCTGTGCTCGACCCTGGATAACCTCACCTGTAGCAGACTTCAGAGGGGCAGATTTCTTCTGTGTTGGACCTAAGGCCTGCTTGATGCCATCATACATCCCCTTGATGTTGCCTGTATCAGCTGCTATCTGGATCCGAGAGCAAAGCTGCAGCCAATAATCGTTAGCACATCTCCTGGCGGTCTGTTGGACTTTGTTATGAGCAGCTCACAGAACCTATAGGTTGCGCTCACTGGAACAGGCTTTATTTGCAATTAGAGCTCTCCCTTTTTTCTCGATGGCTGGCATCAACTCCTCTGAATGGGCTTCAAACCAATCTGCTGTCTTTCTGATATCCTTACCAAATACTGACAAGACAGTGTTATAAACAGCATTCTTGAAATATTCCCATCGTTCAGATGCATTTACTTCAGCTGGGCCTGGGAGAGTTTCCTTGAGTGCTTGTGCAAATTCCTCCACTTTGCCCTGATTGCGGGTGTTGTTGATGTCAATTCATGGTCTTCTTTCCTTCTTCTAGTGATGTAATCTCTTTGTTTGCAGTTTTATTCTGCTGCACACCAAGGAGTGGTCTGTATCGCAATCAGCACCCTGATAGCTGCGTGTGATTGTAATATTGGAGAGGTTGGAGTGCCTGGTAAGAATCATGTTGAGCTGGTGCCAATCCTTCAATCTTGGATGTCTCCAAGAGACTCTGTGTTGAGGCTTTGTTTTAAAGTATGTATTGCTAATGCAAAGACCATAGTAGCAGCAAAATTCCAGCAGTCGGCCATTTTCATTCATCTTTCTGATGCCAAACTGACCTAAACAAGTGGGCCAAGAACTATAATCAGCTCCAACTCTGAGGACCCGGTTTGTGGGGGCAATAAGCTGACTTTTATAAAAAAGAACACCACTTTGGGGGGGGGGGGCGAAAGCCCTATTAAGCAGGTATATACAAAAGTATGAAGGCTATTGCTTAACGCATTGTAAGCTGCCCTGAGTCTCCAGAAAAGGGCGGCATATAAATCGAACCAATAAATAAAATAAATAAATAAACTCTGGCATTAAAATCGCCAAGGATAAACAGTGGTTCTTTCTCAGGGATTTTCTTGATAGTAGCAGCCAGATCGTTATAGAATTTGTCTTTGGATTCTACTGAAGATGATAATGTCGGAACATATGCGCTAATAAGAGTAACTAGCCCTGCTGATGAGTGGAGCTGCAAGGACAGAATTCTTTCACTTCCTGCAGCAGGTGGAGTAATGGATCCTAGTAGGGTGTTTCTGACCGCGAAGCCAACCCCATATTCCCTAGACTCATTTGATGGTTTTCCCTGCCAGAAGAACGAGAAGTTTTTCTTCTTAATAGATCCCAAGTCTAACAGTCTTGTCTCTTGAAGGGCAATGATGTCCATCTGCAGTCTGGTCAACTCCATGTCAATGGCAGCTGTCTTATGTATGTCATCTATCTCTTGTAAAGCATCAGAAAGGCCAGGGGTTATTGTCCGAACATTCCAGGTGCTCAACTTTAGGGCTAAAGTTTTCTTATGTTTGTTGCATGGTGCAAAATTATTGATCTGCTTGTCAGCTTTGACCCTAAACCCCACGCACCCTGTTAGGTTAACAGACAGTGGCTGGGCAGCACCTTACTGGCTGGGGATTCCCAGCTTAAGGCGGTTGGTAGCTGCCCAATGAGATACAATGACCTCTCCCACCGACGAAAGTGGTCCCTGGTGTCATGCTCTACGCCAATCAAGCAAAGCTTAATAACCGGTTATTATTGATTAATAACCAGTAACTGCCACTTCCCGTGTTGTTTCAATGCTGTATGCAAAGCTGGAGTGTCCTCTCCAGAGCATGAGGTCTGGGTAGATTAATATGGAGGATAGACTGTTACCCAAGCAGCCGATCCTCTCTCTCCATGTCGCTGAAATAATCCAATGGAACGCAAAACCGATACGATTAGTTCCAGCTGCATTGCAGGAGTTACTAGAATGTGATTGTACACAGTCACGAACTGCTTCCAGAACTCCGGCTCTGGATTTTGCCTTGAGGTTGACTCCTGAAGCCTTTTCCAGTAGTAGATATAGCCACAAGGCAGTGGAGGTTTGTAATCAGAGTTTCCCTTCTCCTAGAAGATGGTTCTGCCATTTTATCTGCTGTTGGGGCATAAAGCCCTCTTCCGCTTTCAAAACAGTTGACCATTTTCTCCTGTAACCCTGGATAGGGGCCCTTACGAGGTGCTACCAGCTGGGCCAGCTGGATCAAGGTTTTTTGTAGAGAGGTATTACTCCTCTAGCACTCCTCCTCACTCCAGGACTCCTGCTCCAGGTTTTGCCTCGAGGTTGACTCCTGAAGACACTCCTATAGATGGGTATAGCCACAAGGCAGTGGAGGTTTGAGATCAGAGTTTTCTTTCTCTTACATAAGTTGCCTTCCAAGGCTAGCGGACACCATCTTACCGGTTTTTCCCACGCACACAGCTAACAAGACTTCCCACTTAACTCAATGAAACAGCCACTCTCCCCTCCCCCTAGAAACAAGCAGATTCATTCATGAGTGAACTGGAGCAGACCTTCCTCCCTGCAGTCACATGATTCACTCACTCAAACAGACACTCCCCTTTCCCCTAAAAACAAGCAGATTTACCCATGAGAAGAGCTGGAGAACTTTCCTCCCTGCAATCACATGATTCACTGTGAGGAATTGTAACTGGCTGACAAAAAGAGCCTTGGTACTACAGTGGTTTAAAGCACCCTGTTATTAACACAGCTGCCTGCAATTTACTGCTGGTTCGAATCTCTCCAAGGCTCAAGGTTGACTCAGCCTTCCATCCTTTCTAAGGTAGGTTAAATGAGGACCCAGTTTGTGGGGGCAATAAGCTGACTTTGTATAAATATACAAAAGTATGAAGGCTATTGCTTAACGCACTGTAAGCCGCCCTGAGTCTCCGGAGAAGGGCGGCATATAAATCAAATTTAAAAAAAAAAAAAAAAACATACTCAACGAGTAGTCCATAATGGGTCTACGTCTACATGGAGGGAAGTAAGCAGTGGGGTATCCACAAGGTTCTGTCTTAGGCCAAATACTCTTCAATATCTTCATAAATGACTTAGATGAGGGAATAGAAGGGGAATGCATTAAATTTGCAGACAATACTAAGTTGGCAAGGATAGCTAACACCCCAGAAGACAAGCTCAGGATCCAAAAAGATCTTGATAGACTTGAACAATGGGCCCTATCCAACAAAATTAAATTCAACATGGAGAAAAGTAAGGTTTTACACTTAGACAGGAAAAATCAAAGGTACAAGTACAGATTAAGTGAACCCTGGGTCAAAAACAGTAACTGCGAGTGAGACCTTGGAGTTTTATTGAATGAAAAGCTAATACAACCCTTGTATAGAATCAAAATCATGTGAAGTATTAGTACCACTTTATAAAACCTTAGTAGGACCACAGCTGGAATACTGCATCTAGTTTACAAACCACATTACAGAAAAGATGTTGAGACTTTGGAAAAAGTGCAGAGAAGAGCAACTAAGATGATTAGTTGGAGACTAACCTGGAGACTAAAATGTATGAAGAACAGTTGCAGGAACTGAGTATGGCTAGTCTACAGAAAAGAAGGACTAGGGATGACATGAATAGTTCAGGATTTGAGGGGGTGCCACAAAGAGGAGGTGGTAATCTTATTTTCTAAAGCACCAGAAGTCAAGAAAAGAAACAATGGATGGAAACTAATCAAGGAGAGAAACAACCTAGAATTAAGGAGAAACTTCCTAACAGTGGGAACAATTAACCAGTGGAACAGCTTGCTTTCAGAAGTTGTGGGTGCTTCATCACTAGAGGTTTTTAAGAAGAAACTGGACAGTCTAAAATCATATAGAGACTCCTGCTTGTACAGCAGGTTGGACTAAAAAACTTCCAGAGTCCCTTCCAGCTCTATTCTGATTGATTAAAGTGATATTATTCCACAGAGTAAGAGCCATCGCCAAGAATGATTCTCTTCTTAGTCCCACAATACATGGGAACTGGACAGAGGTGAAATCCAGCAGGTTCTGACAGTTTCTGGAGAACCAGTAGCAGAAATTTTGAGCAGTTCGGAGAACCGGCAAATACCACCTCTGGCTGGCCCCAGAGTGGGGAGGGAATGGGGATTTTGCAGTATCCTTCCCTTGGAGTGAGGTGGGAATGGAGATTTTGCAGTGTCCTTCCCCTGCCACGTCCACCAAGCCACACCATGCCCACCAAGCCATGGTAGATGATGGAGGGTCCCTGGAACTAAAGGAGTCAAACAACCAAACCTTGCTGGTATTCAATCTATTGATAGCAATTCTGGGTTCTCCATCTCCAGAGGGTTTAAGAAAAGGTTGGACAGACACTTGGTGAGGATGACTTGATTGTTGACTTTTGCAGAGGATTAAGCTAGATGATCCTTGTGGCCCAGCTCAACAATTCAAGGCACTCACAGTTTTCAGGAAAAGCTGTAAAAAGCAGCATGTCTAACACTGGACTGACTTCTATTCAAGAGTTTTGTGCAGGCTGTCATTCTTCCTGCCTTCCCTCTCCCACCACATCTTTTCTGTCCAGCCTTGCACTGAGATGTCTTCTTTTTTTGTTCTTTTTCTTATTGCTTTTCTTGAATGAGCCTATGGCATTGCCTGTCACCCTTTTCTCACCGGTCCTGAAAGACTTTCTCCCCTCAGTTGCTGGTGCTCCAGGAAGCAAGTGCCAATAGTCAGGTATCTGAAGAATGTGAATGCAGAGAAGAGGAGACACTCCTGACAATAATCCTGCCCTGGGGCCTGAAGGGCTTCTGGTGGCAACCAGCATCTTAACTGCACCCAGAAGCGCACTGGAAGCAGCGTAGCTCATGTGAGTTGTATCCACAACTGTCGGCACCATTTTGGACCAGTTCGGGTTCCAAGTGGTCTTCGAGGACAGCACATTGCAGGGATCCATTTGGGGCGTGGGTGACCAAGACTTGAGTCACTCTGAGTAAATCCTCCCAATTCAGGAAAGGCTGTAAGAACCCCTACCAGTATTGTAGTCAAACTCTGCCCAGTGCCATGAGTTCGATCTTGATGGGCTCAGGGTTAACTCAGCCTTTTATCCTTCTGAGGTCTGTAAAATGAGAATCCAGACTGTTGGGGGCAATAGACTGATATTTCTAAACCACTCAGAGAGTGGCGTAAAGCACTGTGCAGCAGTATATAACTCTTAAGTGCTCCTGCTAAAGGTTGCAATTGATGCACAACAAGAGCCCTCCTGCCCACCACTGCCACCTGTTCCTTGAACAGGAGCCATGAGTCCAGGAGGACCCCCAAATTCTGCACAAGCTCTTACTGGATCAAGAACTAAGAATTAATCAAGAACTCTGGATCCATGGGGCCTTAAAACCAGAAGCCCCTTGGTCTTGCTAGGGTTGGGTCCTCCTCTAGGCACCAAGAAAGGATCTCAATTAGCATCACTTAGTTGGCCAGGAATAGAGACGCCTAACTGGTCATCTCCAGCATACGGACAGTACTTAGGCTTGTGCTGGCGGATGAGCTCACCCAGTGGTTTAACTCTGCAGATAACTAATGAAAATCGTGGGAGGCGGGGTGGTGGTAATGTCTCCTAGGAATTACTCTACATTGTACAAGGATGTGTTCATTTCAGTGGTCTTTCAGTAGCTAAAATTTGATTTTCTTGCCATTGATCAGGTTGCAGACTGGAGAAGCTGACTGTATAATCCTAATTGTGTTTTTAGTTCATCAAGTGGAGCTTGCCAGAGCTTGTCAGGCAGTTTTTAGTTTGAAGATTTTTGGGGATCTTCTGGAATGTTTTTGACTCGGATATGAAAAACCTCATGCAGAATAATTGTGTCCATGTTTACTCTGACGTAGATCTCAGGGTTCCATGTGACTTACTCCGAGGCAGATACGCATGGGATTACAACCAAGCTATTTAAGCCTAAAAAGCAAGACTGAAAGGAGGAATCCAACATGGTTGCAACTTTTAAAGTGGCTGGGGTGTGTGTATGTAAGAGAGAACCCTTCAGTCTCATTGTGGAAAGGAAAGGAATTATTCCAGAGCTTCTGCTGTCAAGAAATGTGAGCAGCCCTGATTTGGCAATTCAGAGACAGGACTTCTCCACACTCCGTCCTGGGCCCATTTTCAAGCAGCAAAGCAGTTCTGCGGCTATCTGTGAGCAACAGTTGTGGGAAAGGTGCAGGGCCTCTTGCCCTGGGACAGGGACCCTTGGACACCAGACCCTTGATGACCCAGTCATCAGCCGGGGTGGACAATCTGGCAAACATGTATACACACACACACACACACACACACACACACACACATCAAAAAATCTACACAACCAGAAAATGTCACAATTCGTGCTGTCTAGATACAGTATTATTTTTCTTAAAACAAAGAGTATGAAGCAGAACTATAATACACAGAAACATAGAAGCCCACAGGTGGACATGCACACTCTTCTTCTGCAGATTGTGTAACATTCTGCATGTTGTACATATTTTCTTAATATCCTTATCTTACTCCTGCAAGTATACATCTACGTGTATTTATTATGGCTTTGCTAGTCAAAAGGAAGGCCTGGGTTTCTTCATGTTATAGCAGTTTGCTTCCTGTCCTTTTGAACACTTGTGTATCATCGCTCAGATAGCAGTCGGCACTGGCCTTTCAACCAGATGTTCGCATCCCTTTGGAGCAGAACTTTCCGAGGAGGGGGGACCAGGGTTGCACAAGGAGCATGTGGTCCATTCCACTAGAAAATACCAACAAGTTCACCACTGGCTGGAGTTACACATGTAAAGTGAGGGTGTTGTGCCTGTATCAACACTGTTAAGCAACAGTGACTGATAGAACATTTGTAGCTCAAGGTTGACATGAAGGCTCCTTGGTGCTCTCTGAGCTTGCTTGTTTTCTTGCAGACGTTTCATTACCCTGACTAGGCAACCTCATCAGTGTTAGACAGAGAGCACCAAGGACCCCTCACTGATAGAACGCTACATCACCCTGACCAGAAATTGACTACCTTCTCCAAAGGAGAACGAGAGAGGACCAAGCCTACCACTGGAAGAGGAACCCCACTGGTGTTTAGTCAGCTTGAAGCTTATCCCTCCCCACAACCAGTGAAGTGAGAGGAGCCTTAAACGAAGGAAAGGGGAAGGAGGTGCACCCTGAAGGCACCAGGGCTGTTGCATTGGTCTTGTCTTCTGGTGCATTCCTCCTCCACCTCCTCCTCTTCCTCCTCCTCCTCCTCCTACTACTACTACTACTACTACTACTACTACTACTACCTCTCCTGGAGCCTTTAAACAGAACTTCCCATGATAGGCAAGTCATTTCATGAGATGAAGCCACTTGATGTAATGACCAATTTTTATTCAGGGACTGGACAGAATTGAATTCACTTCCTAAAATGAGCACTTTTCCCAGCTTAAAGTTCTTTCTCAGAAATGGTTGAATGGTTAGAACAGACTCTCCTCCACTCTCAGCAATATACCTTCTGGGAGGGAGTCTCCACCTTGGGGGAGCCCCCCCTCCATCTGAGACAGGGCCTCCTCCCTCTGCTCTGTTCAGAACTTCAGAAGTTGTGGGTGCTTCATCAGTGGAGGTTTTCAAGAAGAGCCTGGACAGCCATCTGCCTGAATTGATAAAAGGTCTCTTGCTTGTGCAGGGGGTTGGACTAGAAGACCTCCAGGGTTCCTTCCAGCTCTGTTATTCTGTTATTTCTAATGATAATAGAGCTGGCCTGGACCAAGAGGATTACACCTATCCAACTGGAAGGGAACGAGTATTATTAAGGAGGTAGCCCATAAAGGAGTCATTATGTGAAGTGGCATCACAGCATGAAATCAGCTGTTTTTGGCATCTAATAGACAAATCAGCTTACAGGTGTGTGTGTGTGTGTGTGTGTGTGTATAAATGGAACTGTTTCTGCTTGTGGGTATTTTTATCCCATTCTCTCTATTTCTAGACAGTGGAAGCTCTGCCAATAACCGGGCTGGGGATTCTGCTTGGGGAACAGGACAGGTATGTTTTATTACAACCAAACAATCCAAAACACTATTTTTTAAAGCACAACCATATGAAAATATCTTTCCAAAATTCAAACTTTGGGACCCAAACCTTTCTCTCTCTAAAATTGGCTGTGCCAGAAAAGCTTCATTGGGGCTTTTTGTTTTTTAGGAACCGGCTGAAGCTCTTCCGGAAGGGCCAGAATATGAGCCCAGCCGACATGTACCGGTGGAAGCTCTCCTCCCACGAGCCCTGCAGTTCCACTTGCACCACAGGTGAGCAGTTCCCCAAAGAGCTTGCAGGGGGAACCCTCAACCAGTCTGCTTGGGAAGAGAAGCAGGTCTAGCTAGCCTTTCCCCATGAAGGGGCCCGCAGTCCATCCTGCGGCTTTAGTTACGCAGGCTTTCAAGGAGAGCTAATGCGCCACGGCAGAATTCAAGCACGGAAGCAGCCACTTCTGCACAGGACAAAGGCAGACAAAAGTTCTTGTGGTCCTACCCTGTTTCTCCCAAAATAAGACATCCCCTGATAATAAGCCCAATCGGGCTTTTGAGCGCATGGCAATAAGGCCAAGCGCTTATTTCAGGGTTCAAAAAAATATAAGACAAGGTCTTATTTTTGGGGAAACACGGTATTGCCCAAGGAGGGACGCGCTCATATCTCCACACATACACAAAAAGCAAAAAGCAAAAAACAAAGATGTGGCTGAGAACCTAACCAAAATAATAAAACCCACATATTATTACCCCTTTCTACTACTGCATGTAGAGACGAATGACACAAAGAAGGACTCGAAAACAATATTGAGTGATTATCAGCAGCTAGGAAAGAAAGTCAAGGACTTAGATGCACAAGTAGTTTTTTCATCTGTACTGCCAACAAAAGGTCAATATCCGGTAAGAGAACAAAGGATTCTAGAAGTGAACCACTGATTAAAGGTTTGGTGTCGCCAAAAAAACTTTGGATGCCTGGACCATGATCTGTACTACCTCCATGATGGGCTTTTGGCAAGGGATGGGCTGCACCTCACAAAGACTGGGAAGAATGTTTTTGGAAAACGACTGCCTCAACTTATCAGGAGGGCTTTAAACTAAAATTGAGGGGGAGGATGACCAATCTCCAGGAGCTAATTCCAAGCAAAAACCCCTAGAAAACAAGTCAAATAATGAGGGAAGGAGGGATGGGAAGGAAGACAAACTCAAATACCAAATAGGAGACATAGGAAGCATACCCAGAGTCAGACATAAAAGACCCCAAGGGCTTATATACAATCGTATATATAATATACTATTATATAAGTATATATTATATACTAAAAGCCTTATGCAGAGCAGTGACCCAGAACAGTTTACATGCTGGAAATGGATCCAACACAGCCACCTGGTCAGAAATAATTCACTATACAAGGAGCAGTACTTGGGTCATGCGTAGAGGCAATATTTTCTCAAGTTGCAGCAGCTTGAAAGTTTTTACCAACTCACTTAAGAGATGTTAGATTTACATTGTTTTCAGAGAGAACGGAGGACTGTGAATTTCTGCAGACCAGAAATGGTGAATAAATTTGCTGAGAGTACAAACTCAGCCTCAAAATTGTTATCAATGAAGAATTCCTGTTTCCTATCCTTAAGAACAGCCCACCTGAGTCAGACTGAGACCCAGCCTGTTATCCAGGAACTACCAGATGCCTCGGGAGCAGGAAGCAAGGCCCCCTCTTTTTGACTTCTTTCCCTGCAACCGTGATTTAAAGGCACACAGCCTTTGCATTTCCTGCGTCGGATGAAGAGAGCACCTCTTTCTCCTTCTGTCTTGCCCACTTTTTACAGAGACACGATTGAGAGCATTTTAACCAATTGCATCCCTGTTTGGTTTGGTGGCAGCAATGCCTCAGATAGTCCATACAGAGAGTGGTAAGGACAGTGGAGAAGATTATAGGAAGCTCGCTTCCTGTTGGAGACACACACCAGGCAGATGGAGACAAATGCCAGGAATTTCCATAAGTGCTGGACAGAATATGTGCTCATTATTTCAGTCATTTTGTAACATGATCATTTTTAATGAATGAATTCCTGGGTCATTTCTTGAAAAGATTCTCTGTAAGGAAAAGGGATTCAGAGTTGATCAGTGCTATTATTCACTCTTCAATCATGTTAGGTTATCTTTTTAAAGAATTGCCGGAGGTGGAGTGAATTGAAAATAATGATAATAATGATAATAATGATAATGATGATAATAATAATAATAATAATAATAATAATAATAATAATAATAATATTTATTGTTGGAGTTTTTGGTATGAAATACTGATGCAATTTTCCTTTCTCTTATTTTCTTGGATGAAGTTGCCAAAAGTATCAAAAAAAGGTGGTCTTGCTCCCCAAAATTCCCATTACTGATATTAAAGGAAAAATATTTCCTCGTTGCACAGGCCATGCCTCTAAATTTCCCCAGATCTTTCCTATGTCTTCTATGCTCCCCACCTCAGGAAGATTTCTTGTGAATGCCTGGAAAAATGATTTGGGGGAGAGGGAATCTTCAAGTCACTTTTGGACCCTGACAACGGGCTGGACTGGTCCCTGCTGGCATGGTTTTCAGGAGTGCCAGTTTCTGCTTCTACCTGGGAGAGAGGTGAGGGGCTGGCCCAAGGTGCCCCCAGTGGGCTCTGTGCCCAAGGTGGGTCTCCCAGTTTGTAGCTTGATGCCCTAACCACTAGACAAACTGGCTGTCTTGAAAACCAATGTCCCCCCCCCCCCCAATGTGAACAAATGAACACTCTCTTTCCCACTATCTCGTCTTGGTGAATGAGCTCAGATTCCATCTCTGCTTTGCAGGAATTAGAGGGGCCAAGTGTAATTCATGCAAGGTGATAAAAGGAGACAGGAGGTGCCTTGACTTTTATCGATGCTACGGTTCAGAGGAAAGAGTGGTGATGGGGGGAGGCTTCTGGATGACATCTGTGCAGACACAGTTGTGACAGTGAAGGACTGATTGCTTTGGTGTTTCTGAATGCAGGAGTGATGTCCACCTATGCCATGTGCATCCGCTACGATGGCACAGAGGTGGAGGACCCTTTCTGTGATGCAGCTACGCGGCCTGAGCCCATCCACGAGTTCTGTGCAGGAAGAGAATGCCAACCCAGGTTTGTCTTCTTCGCTGCTTGGGGAACCAAAGCCCAGAGGCAGCTGGGCAGCTTTCATTCCCAGGAGTGAGTGCTCTTTCTGTGCTTAGAATATTGCCAGGATGCCCGGCCCCTCCGGTGAACAGTAAGACGACTGCTGCAGTGCTAGGCTTTGTGCCTGTCGCCCTCGTGAGAATCCAGAGATGGGCCACTAGCAGGAACAGTGGATGAGGGCAGAAGTTTTTTATGGGGACCCCTTGGCAATAGAGGCAGGTCTCAGGGAGGAGGACATAGCCTGGTTAGTGGCTAGGATAGACTTTCCTACATGAAGGCAAGAGACTCTCCCTCTGGAGGGTCAGTGGTGGCTCTGGTGTTGGACAGCTACAGCACAACCATGAAACGGAAGGAGGGAGTTTGGTTGATTATCACAATCCCTGACTGCAAAGCAAAGGTAATTAGAAAAATAAAATGCCATCCGAACCATTCTTCATATGTCTCTAGGCCTTTACTCGTCTTAGCTGCTCTTTGCACTTTTTCCAAAGTCTCAACATCTTTTTTGTAATGTGGTGACCAAAACTGTCTTTGGTCATTCTTTGCTTTCCTGACCAGATTTGCGGATTCAGGATATCTGTTGATATTCACACAGTTATGTGTCCCACTTTCCATTTTTTTTTATTTATCCTTTTCGGCTTTCAGTTTATCAGAGAGATCTTTGTGCAACCATGCTGGTTTCTTCTTGGATTTCCTGTTTTTCTTTTTCAGTGGTATTGTATTGGACTAGGCACTGAGGGGGCTTGTGATTGGAGTCTGGTCAAAAGGCAGCTTTGGCAACTGATAACCAAACATGTGCACTTTGCAACAGAAGTAGGCAAATCTTCTGCCAGCATGCTCTAAAGCAGTGGTTCCCAAACTTTTTCAGTCCACCGCCCCCTTGGTACCACAAACTCATCCTCAGTGCCCCCCACCCAGGGGTGGGTTCTACTTACCTTTACTACCTGTTTGCAGGGGGCCGCGGATTGCGCACTCACTTTGCTCGCGCATGCATGCACTCTTCTGCACATGCGCAGAAGCATTTTGGTGATATCGGGGTCAGTGGGCGGGGCCTCCTCCCGGTTTTACTACCAGTTCTATAGAATTGGTGAGAACCGGGGCAACCCACCACTGCCCCCACCTCCACCCCCACCCCCTATAAATAGCATTGTTTGGAATAGTGGTTTGCATGACCCACTAAGGAAGATAGTAAAATACACGGAATACAGCCATTTTTTTGCCTCCTGAAGCCTTGCTCTGCATGTCCCGTTTTTGTGAAAAACGGACCTGTTTTTCGCAAAAACGAGCCTGTTTTTCGAAAAAACGGTGTGCAGAGCCTTTGGGAGGCCTGCAGGCTGCTCCAATACAAATCTATCCCTATAACAAAAACAGCTAACACTATTAGTTAACACTAAAGAAATCCCCTGAATCAACCAATCTAGAGCAGTGATTCTCAGCTGGGGGTTCCTTTTGAATTTGCTGACCACCAGTGAGTGGGAGAAAGCAATTTCACAGAGGAGGGGATGGAGAGGGCTGTGGGATGAATTCAAACCCATTCCCAGACCCCCTTGGGATCAACCTGCAGCCCTGCCCTGCCTCCTCAGGCGGTGGAGCGTGGGGGGGGGATGGTTTTCAAGAAGTCACAAGGAGGGCTGAGAGCTGGTTTCTGTCCCACAAGTAAGATTTGGTCCAGAATCAACCTCAACATGAAGGTCTTTTATTTGCTCCTTGTCTTTGCATTTTTAACAGGTAATAAATTAAATTTCTGTTGATGTAAAAATAGCTCATAACTCACCTTTCTAGACAGCTAGAATAGACAGCTATTATCATGTCTAAAAGCAAGATACTCTTCTCCATCTTTTATCTGGAGTACCATTTAATCCAGAGCCTTTTAATTCCAGAAGTCCAAGTTTAAAGAATGGACTTCTGGAATTAAAGCTCCATTTTTTAGCTAAAACTTAATTCACACCTGTTAGTTTTGCTTGAGCAGCGTGAACAATTGACAGTGGGATCCTCCAAAGGTCTGAAAAATATATCATTGATTTTTCTTTGGCATTTAAACTAGATAACCAATGTGAAAAAATGCATCAAGGAAGGACTGGAAAGCCAATTCATACTGAACTGTATTGGGTTTTCTGTTGTTATTTGAATAAAATGAAAAGAAATCACATAGAGGTACCTAGTGCGGAAAAAGAGATGAAATAATGGGTCATTCTCAACACTTGAATTCTCTACACTTAAAATATCTAGAAATTATTATAGTTAAGTGAGTTTTAACCCATTTTACAATTTTTCTTGCCATAGTTCAAATCAAAGTTCAAATCAGAGATTTGATAGTTCAAATCAAAGATTTCTGAGACCAATGTTGAATACTTAAAATTTCAGTAGTCACCAATCCCAGTCTTAAAATGAGTTTAGAATCAGTGGGAGTCACTGATAACAATGAACTAACTAGCTACTGATAATGAGTCCAGTCCTGCCTTTCTTTTCCTTCTGTCCAAGTTTTGCAAGTACTTTTTCCAGGTATATGTTTTATTCCAAAGTATACAAACCATTATTGTTAGGGAAAAAATGGGTCTTCCAAGCAATTTTAAAAGACACTGTCAGAATGACTCTGCTCTCAGCCCCCCTTGTGGCTCCTTGAAAAGCATCCCCCCCCACATATGTAAATGAAAAGAATAAGCTTAAAAATCCTAGCCTTTTAAAATTGAAAATATGGAGAATTAGGAGGATGAATATGAGACGCTAAGGGAGATGTTTCAAAAAGTAAGGGAGGCATTTAAGGGAAATAAAGAAGCAGAGAATTGGTTAGCTTGCAAAAAAAAAAAAGAAAGAGAAAAGATGAATGAGAAGCAAGAAAAACAAGGAGATAATATTGAAAAGGAAATAATTGAAAAAAGATAAAGATGATTACACTGGGTTCAATAGTGATAGAATAAAAATGGATATGGGAAAATACATCTCAAATATGAAGAAAAGAGAAATAAATGGGGTAAAATTGAGAATGAAAAGTAATAGAGTTAAAATTAAAGGAAAAAGGCTGAAGGGGAGATATAAGAACAGTAAAAAGAAGGTAAAGAAAGGGGAGAAAGGGAGGAAAACATCAAGAAAGAGAACTGTGGAGAGACTAAGAGAAAATGGTTAAGAGTCACTGAAAACGTTAATTTGTTAATAAAGAGAAGGATGCTAGTTGTAGAAATTATATGTGAAAATGCTATTAAATAAAAAATAGAACAATGTAATATGAACGAAAGAATGATATTGGAAGAAGCGCTAAAAGGAGAGAATAAATTATAATATAAGAATTAATTGAATAAGATGGAATATGGAAATTAAATGTAAAACTGAATGAAATTGAAATGCAAAAAATGATTCAAATGATATACTTGTAAGAAGTAAAGTAAAAATAGTTAAAAGTAAAAAGTCTAAGAATTGGAAGATTGGAAGAGTAAAGATTTAAAAGGAAAAATGGAATAAGATGAAATATACTGCTAATAATTAAAAAGATGAGGGGAAATCTTGATAAATGAAAGAAAGACCAGGGTTGCCTGGACTCCATAGTGGAAAATATAAAATTGAAAATGAATACAGTAATAGAGAGTGATGAAGGAAGGAGAAGAGAGATGGAAGAAGGAATGAGAGAGAGGGAAGGAAGAGAAGGGAGGAAGGGAAGGGAAATTAGAGTAGGAGGGAGGGTAAGAGAGGGAGGAAGAGAGGAGGAGAAGGAGAAAGGAAGAGGAAGTAGGGAGGAGAAGAAGAGGGGGAGGAAGAGAAAGTAAGAAGGAAAGAAAAGAGAGAGGTGGTAGGTTTGAGGAGAAAGATTGCTGTACAATAAAAAAGATGAGAGGGAAGAAAGCCAACCCCAAACAAATATAAAGATATTAAGATAAAGAATGAATTGTTAAACTTTAAAGAATAAAAGAGAACAAATATGAATAAATAGCAGTAATTAGAAACACACATACAAACATACAATTTATTTTCTTTGAACAGAGTATTTGGCCGGTTCACAAATTTAAACAGTGTTTAGTCACTTCAATTAAATTTACAATTTCTATATTTCCTTTTTGCCATATTTATTCCTCATCTATTTTTTTTAAAAAACCAATATTACCCTTCATCCTCATCTCTAATCTTAATCAAATTCAATTTTTCCCTTCTATTCTATATTATACCCCTTCCCATTGTCATCTATTTTTATATCCATCCTCACATTGTTTAATTATGTAATATTACAGTTGTTTAATACAAATTCAACATTTTAATATAAATCAATTAGTTATATAACTATCTTTTTTTGTATATTAATCAATATGAACATGAATATTCCAATTATTTCCATGCAATCCAATTTCTTACAAATCAATTAATTATATTTACCAATAATAATAAACCAAATTATTTTCCCCATATATTCCTCCAAACCACAACTTAGCCATTTCTGCTTTCAACACAATATACAATTAATAGTATCTCAATTATTACAATTCCCTAGTTAAATAGAGCTTTCCCCTTATGTTACTCATTTTCACAACTTAAACTCTCCCAATAACCCAAATAGTTTTACTGATTGATTGATTGATTGATTGGTTTGATTTATATGCCGCCCTTCTCCAGAGATTCAGGGCAGTTTACATCGCGTTAAGCAATAGCCTTCATACTTTTGTATATACCTGCTTAATAGGGCTTTCGGGCCCCCCTAAGCGGTGTTCTTTTTTTTTATACAAAGTCATCTTATTGCCCCCACAATCCGGATCCTCATTTTACCTACCTCGAAAGCATGGAAGGCTGAGTCAACCTTGAGCCTGGTGAGATTTGAACTTTTTTTTTTTTAATTTGATTTATATGCCGCCCTTCTCCGGAGACTCAGGGCGGCTTACAATGTGAACTTGCAGTAATTGCGCTCCATGGCATAGGGCCTAGCTATCTTCGAGACCGCCTGCTGCCACCGACGACCTCCCATTGACCCGTGCGCTCCCACAGAGAGGGCCTCCTCAGGGTGCCATCACCAATCAATGTAGGCTGGTGACCCCCAGGGGGAGGGCCTTCTCTGTGGGGGCACCCACCCTCTGGAATCAGTTGCCCCCAGAGATAAGGAGAATCCATGACCTCAGTGCCTTCCGCCGTGCCCTTAAAACCTTCTTTTTCCAACAAACCGGGCTGGCCTAATTCTTTTTAAGTGTTTTTAATTGTTTTGTTTATCGTTTTAATTAATGGGGCCAAATCTATATATATATTTTTAACTGTATTTTAATACTTGTATTTGATGTTTTTATTTGGCTGTTCACCGCCCTGAGTCCGCAGGGAGAAGGGCGGTATACAAATTCAAAATAAAATAAAATAAAATAAAATAAAAATAAATTGCAGGTAGCTGGTGCTACACTTTAGTCTGCTGCGCCACCAAGGCTCTTATAAGACTATAATTATATAGTTTTGCTCATATAATCCTCCAAATGACAACTTAATCATTTCTACTTTCATCACAATATATAATTAAAAATATTTCAATCGTTACAATTTCCCTAATTAAATTTAAAAATGTTCTAGCTGTTATCCAAGCTGCAACTTAATCCTTTTTACTTTCACCACCATATACCATTAAAGGTATATGGTATATGGTATTGTTACAGTTTATACTTATTCATATTTCTAAAAAAAATAAAAAATAAAAACTTATCATTGTCTAGATTTCAAAAATACAAAGACAAATATTCCAATTATTATTCATTTCATTTTTACAATCATGATTTCCCATTTATTTCTTACTAGTATTTATATTTCAATTCTAAATATGTATAACATCTTTCTCTTTCATTTCTTTTTCTCCCTTCCCATTTTTGCCTTTTTCTTTCTCCTTTTTTTCATTTGTGTTTTAAAAGTTTTAACTCTCCTCTTTTGCCCTAAATTTCCCATTGTTTGCACCTACCTTTTTTGGTGAGGAAAAAGAAATCTGCCTCTGCCTAATTTTCCAATGTAACAGCAAACAGCCAACAGCCTGCTTTACTTTCAGTTTCATTTTCAGCTTGATTAGCACAAGGAGAAAAAAAATCTGCTCCAGCAATTTAGCTCTTTGCAGCAAGTAGCAGAGCCCTGCGCAAAACAGCTGAGAGCAAATCAGCTGAGAGTCAGGAGGCCAATCTAATTCACGGGCTAATTAGCCTATGCTAAAGCTGAAAGGAGTTGTTTTTTCTTGCTGTTTGCTTGCAAGGAGGTAACTGCTGCGAGGCACAGGCCAAAGGGTGGGGGCCACCCTCCTTGCCACTTAGCGCTCCCCTGCCGCCCCCCCTTGCCTCTTACCGCCCCCCTAAGGCATCCCACTGCCCCCCCAGTACCGCCCACTTTGGGAACTATTGCTCTAAAGGCCCTAAGTGTTTTTTAAAAATGGCTTTTGATTTAAATGTTAATTTGAGCCAACCTCACTTAAATGGGCCAAGATACCACCATCCCTCTCTGGAGATGAAGAATAACAAAACCAAACCTGATCACACTCCTGGTCATCCATGAAGAGCCTGGCCTGGCTGTCCTCCCTCTGTTCCTTATCCTGAAACACCACCTTGTGTTGGACAGGTGGGAGACCAGCAGCTGGAGCGAGTGTTCCAGGACCTGCGGAGAAGGCCACCAGTTCCGGATTGTCCGTTGCTGGAAGATGATCTCGCCTGGCCTGGACAGCTCCGTCTACAGCAACCTGTGTGAATCAGCTGACATCGCTCGGCCAGAAGAGAGGAAAGTCTGCAAGAACCCGGCTTGCGGGCCACAGTGGGAAATGTCTGAGTGGTCTGAGGTAAATTCTGGCCAAGAGGTCTCTGTGCTTTGATCCCAGCAAGCCCTGTGGATCACCTAGCTATGGGGGCAAGCTTAATGGGGGAGTTGGCGGGAGCAGTGACCAATTTCCGGGAGTCTTTTCCAACAGCTGTTCCCGCATGTGGTTTCAAATACAGGCAGCCAGGCTTCCGGTTGGTGCTGCCGTCGTCGCTAGACGGTCTCTTTAAGACCGCCAGCCCTGCCTCCCGTAAAGAGCCGCCTCTACAGCGGAGAGGTGGCTTGAAAAACTCCGTGTTCCTGAGGAAACGTGAGGAGAGCCAGCAAGATCAGGTAGAGCCCCCTGCGAAGTCCCCAGGTTGTCTTTTTTGCTTCTGGGGAGGAAGCAGGGTGAGGCTCCCTATCCAGCTCGCCGAGGCTCCGGACTCTGGGGACAACTCTGCATCCAGCAGAGCCAGACGACGCGACCAACATAACCAGCGAAATCCAAGAGAATTATTAAAAATAAACAGGGTGAAATCTGGACCTGAAACTCAAAACTGCAAGTATTTGTATTAGCCCTGTGATTGAATTTAAGAACGGAGAAAGAGTGAAAGTCTGTTAAAATGGCGTCCGGCTTCAGCGGTAGGAAAAAAGCTGAAAGCGAAAGTGGATTTGCCTGATCATCTCAACACGTTATAAAGTACTTAAAGCCACAGCGCTGGCTAGAAGAAAAGGGAAAAGTTTTTTTTAAAGTGATTTTGATCTGTTCTTCCTCCCTTAAAGACTTGATTAAAGCTGGGGAAATTTCTGAGAGGATTCTGTGGTGGTGAAAAGGCTTCCTTCTTAGAAAAAGTCAGACTGCGTGGCAGAATGGCTTCGAAGCAGACAAAGCCAGCCACTAAAGCTGTGGGGGGGGGGGGGCTCACCCACTCATAAGTCACAAGAGCAGCCATTAAGTTTGCAGACTCAGAGCCAAGCACAGGAGACTGGTTTTAAAGATTTGAAGGAATTTATTGCTGCGGCTCTGATGAATCAAAATGAAGTTATGGACCAGAAATTTGAAAAATCTCAACAGGAAATTAAGGAGGTGGTTCAAAAAAAGTATGATAAGATGAAGCGAGACATACTGACAGTTCTGACTGGCTTGTCAGAAGTAGTTGTTCAGATTGATAAAAAAGTGAGAGAACTTAGTTCAGAAGTAGAATCTAAAATGAAGGAAGCTGATTATAAAATTTCCAATGTGGACAATAAAACGCAAAGGATTGAAAATGAAGTGACAATGATGCAATTTAGATTTATGGAGTTTGCTGTAAGACTGAGAGGAATAAAAGAAAACAACAGAGAGGATTTGAGAAGGGTTTGTGCTGATGCCCTGGCTGTGATGCTAAAGGTTAGCCCTGAAGAGATTTTGTGCAAGATGGACAAGGTTTACAGAGTGAATTCTTGGGTGGCAAGGGAAAGGCAATTGCCTAGAGATGTGGTGATCTACTTTACAGATAGAAGAATAAGAAATGATATCTTACAAAAGTCTTTTGTTTCTACTATTCAAGTGGATGGAAGGGAGATTGGGATTTATAAAGAGTTGCCGCCTAAGATGCTAAGAGATAGAAAGGATTTTGGATTTTTGGTGACTGAATTAAAGAAACAACAAATTCCATTCAGATGGAGCACAATTTATAGCCTCAAATCCGGAGAAAAAGAATGGTGTGGTGATTTATATAAATAAAAGATTGTCAGCTAAAATTATAGAAGCAGATGATTGTGGAAGATATATAGCAATTGAACTTTATACATATAATGGTCCAATTTTGGTGATTGGAATTTACGCTCCTAACCAGCAACAAGAAAATTTTTACAAAATATTGTACTCTAAAATATTACAATGGGACTATAGATCTATTTTACTTATGGGAGATTGGAATGGAGTAATAGATCCTAAAAAAAATAAAAAGAGTTTGGCAAAGTCATGTGTTAAATTACCACAGATCTTTTTCAATATGAAAGAAGATTTGGAATTGAAAGACATATGGAGAGTGCACAACCCAAACTTTACTTTTTTCTCAGACAGACATAGATCCTTCTCTAGGATTGATTTTATCCTACTTACGGCTGATTTACTTCTAAAAACAAAGAAAACAAAGATATTTCCGAGGACTTTAACTGACCATAGCCCGGTATGGATAGAAATAGAAATGGGAAAGAATGAGAGAAGATCGTGGAGAGTAAATGAAAATTTGTTTAGATATGAAAAGAATGTAAATGAACTCAAAAAACAAATGAAGGAATTTTTTGAAATGAATTTGAATAAGGGTACCCCTATTGAAATTGTTTGGGACGTGAGCAAGGCGTATATGCGGGGGGCACTGATCTATATGAATTCTAAACACAAATTAAATCGACAAAGAAAAAGATTAAAAATGGAAGGAGAGATAAAGAAAAAAGAACAGTTACTTATAAAAAATCCAACAGATGAAAAACTACAAGGAATTATAAAACTTTTGAAAGATCAATTTCAAATGCTCATAGCGGAACAAGCAGCAACTAATTTACAATTTGCGAAACACAATACATTTTGTAACGCTAATAAACCGGGCAGGTGGCTGGCTTACACATTGAGGAAGCAGCAGAGTACTCGGACTATCGGTAGTATTGAGTATGGAGGGAAGGAAGTTTTTCAACAAAGATTAATCAAAGAAGCCTTCTTAGATTACTATACCAAACTATATGCCAAAGATGATATACAGAATGAACTTATAAATAAATATCTAGAAGAAAGGAGAGTTATGAAAATTTCTAGTGATCAAAAGGAAAGAACGAGTCAACCAATAACAGCTGAGGAGATTATTGTTGCTATTAATTTAATTTAATTTAATTTAATTTCGAATTTATATACCGCCCTTCTCCCTGAGGACTCAGGGCGGTGTACAGCCAAGATAAAAAACATAGAATACAAATATTAAAACATTTAAAAATATATATAAAATTTGGCCCAAAAAATTAAAAATCACAGACTAATTAAAAGGATTTAAAAGTTTTAAAATTTCTTCTTAAGCCAACCCGGCTTGCTGGAAAAGATAGGTTTTCAGGGAACGACGGAAGGCATTAAACAACTGAAAACAGCTAAAGCTCCAGGGACGGATGGTTTAACTGCGGTGTATTATAAAACCTTACAAGTAGAAATAATTGAACATCTTTTTTTTTATTTCAAAAGTTTTACAGTTACATCTTCACCCCATTTCCCCACCACCACCACCCACCCCAAACATCCCAACCTCCCTAACCCTCCCTAACCCTCCCCTCCCCCCAGACTTCCACACAGTATACTCATATCAGGTAAAAAAAAACCCTTAGTATAAAACTTGTATAAAACTTGAACCCTCCCCCTTATAATTTTTCTTTTTATCTTCATTACATTAAAATATTTGTAATACATTATTTTCAAATAAAAGCTATTTGATACTTCCTAGTTTGATATTTGTTCTGAACATATTCTATCCACTTTTTCCATTCCCATTCATAAGTCTCTTGTGAACAATCTTTTAAATATGCTGAAATCTTCGCCATCTCTGCAAAACTGGCCATCTTCAAAGTCCATTCCTCGATAGTGGGCAAAGCTTCGTTTTTCCAATATTTACCTATCAACAATCTTGCTGCTGTTATCATATACAATATCAATTTTGTTTCACCCAATGTAAAACCCTTAACTATACCCAATAAGAACAGTTGTGGAGAAAATTGAATTTTTTTCTTCAAAACATTCTGCATGACCCACCAAATTTTTATCCAAAAAGCCTTAACTTTCCTACAGGTCCACCAAACATGGTAATATGTAGCATCCAAACATTCACATCTCCAACATTTTGGCTGAACATTAGGGTACATACATGATAACTTTTTGGGGTCTAAGTGCCATCTATAAAACATTTTGTAGAAGTTTTCCCTCAAATTCTGCAACTGTGTAAATTTAACATTCTGAACCCAGATTTTTTCCCATGTTTCCAACATCACTGGTTCTTCAAAATTTTGAGCCCACTTAATCATACAATCTTTAACTAATTCGGTTTCTGAATCCCTTTCTAACAAAACATTATAAAGCCTTTTAATATGCATTGGACCTTTCTCTTTTATATGTCTAACCAATTCTTCCTCATGCAACATAATACCAGTTTTTTGATCCTCTTTCCATCTCAATTGCAATTGATTATATTGTAGCCAAGTTAAATTAATCCCTTCAGCCAACAGTGTCTGTAGTGTCTTCAGCTGCCATCTGCCCGCATCTGTAAAAAGAACCTCTTTATATAAAACCCCCCGAGTGACATTATATTTGTATTCCACAAAGTATGACCAAGATCCAGCCATAGCGGTATTTTATAATCCCATTTGAGTCGGTGCTTCTTCCAAACTCTCATCAAAGAGTCTCTAAGTATATGGCTTTTAAATACTTTGTCGACTTTATCATCATAAAATAAGTAAGCATGCCATCCAAATTCAAGATCAAAACTTTCTGCGTTCAATATTCCAGTCTTTTTCCTTCCAAACCAATCACTTGTTAAAGTCAAAGCTGCTGCATCATAATATAACTGTAGGTTTGGTAATTTAAGACCTCCCCTTTCTGGAACATCTTGCATAATTTTCAATTTCACTCTCTGCTTTTTCTCGTTCCAGACAAACTTGTTCACTCCAGCTTGCCACACTTTCACTTGTTTATCACTTTTAAGCACCGGAATCATTTGAAACAGAAAAAGAAATCTTGGCAAAATGTTCATCTTAACTGCTGCTATTCTTCCAAGTAGAGACAGTTGCAGTTTTTTCCAAGTCTCTAAATCTTTCTGCACCTCTCGCCACAACACCTCGTAGTTATTTTGAAACAATTTCGTATTTGATTCTGCAACCTGGACTCCTAGATATTTTACCCTTGGTACAACCTCAAAACCTGCCCTCCTTTCAAGCTCGTGTTTACGATCTTGTGTCATATTTTTAACTATCATCTTAGTCTTTTTATGATTCAGTCTAAAACCTGAAACTTTACCATAGTCTTGT